TTAACAGCAGCATCATCGGGACGACCAGCTTTTGCAAATGGGCAAACAGTTGTCATCTTGTTCGGCAACCTGTTAAAGGAATATGAACAGCATTGAAACCAAACAAGAATGTAAGAGGTCAATGGAAAGAAAAGCAACACAAATGACACACAATAAGTTTCTTTTCTGTGGATGAAGCAAATGCTGAGACCCAAAAGTCACTCCAAGATAGAGAATGAAGAACTGGAAAAATCTCCTGCATTGGAAGAATTGAATAGTTTATTTGGACGACAGTGTCAGCTTTATCAAACACTACAAAATTCTCAAAAATGAAGAAAAAGCACACACCACCCCACATTGTAGAGTCCACTCAGAAAAAAGTTCTCTAATTACCAATTCCAACATTTATGCTTTATTTTTCTAAAGATAAAGCTAATATTCGTAGTCAAACCTCCTTGAAGAGTACAGATGTAACTTTAATCTAAGAAGGTACTGAGACAGAGAATTATATCTCCTGGAAGACATTAAAACAAAGAGAACCTCTTGATGGTAACACCAATTGCTATGGCCATCAAAGTCACTAAACAGTCTTACAGGTTGCACACATTGAATCTTGTTTATTCAATCAAGCAGTCTAACGCTTTAAGACTACTATCTCCCACATTCTCCTATTTTTAAGTTCCTTTCCACAAGAAATACTAGATCACAAGATGTGGTGTAGATACATATTCCTATGTGCTAGAGAGTTATGCATATGACTCACTGCTGTTCCTAAATTAAAGACATCATTTTGCCTTCAACCCTTGTTATCAACTTAAAAAACCAATGAAAGTGGAACCAAAACTCTCTACCGTAAATCAGCACTGCCCTGCTTATCAACTAAATGTTTGCGCCTACGGTCATATTTGTTATCAACGCCTGGCTGCACTATTAACTTATCACATTATCAATATATCCTTTTCCCTTTTATGCAATCTTGCAAGAACAGTTCAAGCCAAACCAAACAAACTGCAACCAGCCCCCCGCAAAATCTCACATAAAGGCCAATTGCTGCAGCTACAATCTCCGAAAAAGCTTGGTGGGGGTTTTTCTTTTACTTTTTCTTCTTTTTTGAGTGGCATTCTCTTGCTGAATCAAAAAGCCTGATTAAAAATCAGCAGATATTACCTCATCCCAAAAACCCCAGATAGAAAAACCGAAAATACATCCTTCAATTTAGGACTATAATTGAAACACATTCTTCATCATGATCCTTAGCTCACAAATTTTAAAAAGTTCAAATTTTTACACAACAACAATATGATAACAACGATAATAATAATAATGATACAGAAAATCCAAATCAGCAAAAGCATTATAAAGGCTAAACAGATGGCTAATGAACGAAAATAAGGACGGGACCAGATAGAATCGAAGCAGTAGTACCTTATGCCTAGAGCGTCGCACACTAGCTCGATAGATTTGCCAAGCGGATTAAAGATCAGGTCCTTGGCGGAGTAGGGATAATCCCAGCTTTCAAGTTAAGAGAGACAAATACAAAGAGACAAAAAAGGCACAAATATAGGGAAAGCAATAGAGTAGAAAAGACTGAGAGAGGTCACAGGTAGGGAAAAAACCAAAAGGCATTTTTCTTTGGGATAATTTCAGAAACCTCCCTTGAGGTTTCATGAAATATCATCTAGCTTCCCTAAATTTTTTAAAATCTCACTTAATACCCTTAAAGTGATAGTAGGGCCATATATTAATATCAAAGGTGATGAATTATCAATAATACCCTTATATTTAAATTTTCTGAACTTGTTTTTCTTTCTCTAAATTTCCTACTTTTCTTTAACAAAATGTCTATACAAACATACATACATGCATACATACATACGTACGTACATACATATATATATATATATAATTGAATTGCAAATGTCAATGAAATATAGGATTTAATCAATGAAATGTTCAATGCATTTGGAGAAGAATAGCTGCAGGTTCTTTTTATTTTTTTTCCTTTTTTGGTGTTTCACAATTTTATTTATTTATTTTTTTATTTCTATTCATGTAGAGCGTAAGAGAAATAAAGTAATTGAAATTACAAATAGTTTTTCAAATTCTGACTTTTCTATAATAAAATTTTCATATTTCACATCCATAAAAAAAGTCTGTCTATTTTGAGTAAATTTTTTGTATGATATTAAAGTTCAATTTCATCTATTACTAAGTTTTTTTTACTCAAATATATGATTTTACATGTTAATTACCTTCAATGCTATGAAAGGTTCTATTTGTAGAAATGGTTCAAAAAATAGTATTTGCTTTTACTATCTTTTCTTACTGTAGAAGTGACTATTTGCTATAATATAAAATCTTACAAATTTTCATCTCCTTACTTTTAAAATGGTTCCAATTTAATACTTTTTTTTCTTGATTTGTAAAACATTCATTTTTTATAGCCTAAGGGTATTAAAGGCACTAAAATAATCTCTCTTCTCAAACATGAAATTTTTAATATTACTTTTGGTTAAAAAGGCTTCCAATATTACCAAAATGTCAATTCAAAGGGTGTTAAGTGAGATTTTAAAAATCTCAAGGGAGCTAAGTGATATTTCATAAAACCTTAGGGGAGGTTTATGAAATTATCCTTTTTTCTTTTGGATAATTTTAGAAACCTCCCTTGAGGTTTCTAACAATTTTATTCAGCTCCCCTCAGATTTTAAAAATTACACTTACCTCTTTTGATATAGTAAAATACCTATAATGCCCTTCATTTGGTAGACAATTTTAAATTTAAGGTAATAAATTCACAAAACCCAAAAATAAATCATTTTTCTGTCTCTTGTCTATTTTTCTCCTCTGTTTTCTAATTAATATAACTTCTTTTTATTATCTTCAATATTGTGGATATTAGTAAATTGAAACTTACAAAAGCAACAGAGAGAGCAAATTATTTGTCAAATTAAAAGGAAATAAAGAGACTCGCAGTGATAAAGAAATAAATAATTAAATTAATGATTGAAATAAGAAGAAGAACTAAAGATGTGAAATTTGTCATATTTTGTTTGTTGCCAAGAAAAATTTTTATAAAATGTCAATAATTACATAAGAATTTCTCTCATTGGATTAGATATTTTTATTTTGTTTATTATAGAGGTAGAATTGATCATCTACTTTTTGAGATATTAATATTTTTAAACCCATAGAAGGATTGTAATGATGATTCTAGATCATATTAACTTGCATTAAAAAGGTATTTGAACATTAATATTTAATTTTAGGTACAACTGATTGTCAATGGGCTCCGTATGTGTGTGTGTGTGTGTGTGTGTTTTTTTTTTTTTTTTTTGCATGGCAAGTATTAATATTTTATGTGCAATTTAGAATTTTTTTTAGACGACTACTTGATTTTAGAACTTTTGCTTTGATGATTTTTAGGAATTAGACTTGTTGATTTATGCAAAGTGTAGAAGAAAATAATTGAGTACATTATATTTTTCTTTCTTAGTTTTCTACAAAAGGACAATTTAGGATTTATGTGGGAAAATTTATCTTGTCGGACCTATATTGTTACTAAACATTAAAAGTAGGGGAAATATATGTAATTTTAAAACCTGAAAGGAGTTCTCTATAATTGTTAAAAACCTCAGGGGAGGTTTGTGAAATTATCCCTTTTTTTGTATTTTCTCCCTTTTTTTTCTCTTTTTTAGTTTTTTTTATAGTAAGTACTTATACTTGTGTAGCACTACTGCGATTATCAGGTTGTTTCTTGATTTTTCTTTTTTATTTTTTCCTTTTCTTTTATTTGTTTTTTCTCTCTCTTTGCGAAAAAAAAAGTACTAATTTTTAGTCGCTTAGATTTGAATATTATTCCAATTTTGTCACCTCAAACGTCATTTTAGCACATTAATGTCAATTTAGAAATATGAGATTTTAGTACTACATTTATTATTACGTTGAATGCGAATGCTAAGAAATGTGTCGTTCTCGTACATAAATCATCACTGCAACAAACTTCTCACAATTAAATTAATAAGGGTGCCGGTGAATAACACACTGATGATGAATCTTACTCACGAATAAATGATCATCAGGACACAATTGCCTGCCCCTACTAAACTTTAAAATTAATTTTTTAAAAAAAAATTAAGTGGGGGTCAATTTTGCCCGCTTGCTTACTTGCCACTAAATCCACTGGCATTAATCCTTCATAAAAACACCAAATTGTTAACAGCAGAGCGCCAAATATATACCAAGATCAGATCACTGGTTCAACCATCTCTGTGTTCAGGGCAGAGCAGCCAAGGCATCCAGGCAGTCCTCTTCCAACTCGATTAAAATACCTTTTTTGTCCAATATCACTACTACTACTTGTTTTTGCTTTGACTTGGGATTGTTTCTTATGATATCAGGCTTTGCAAGTCTAAGATGCAGCTTGAAGATTTATATGAAACATCCTCTCCAATTCCCAGCGCCAGATGATTCAATTGAGTTGATCACCCAGGTCAAGAAGTAGAAGAGCCTCGGAGAGAAGGAAAATCCTTCTCAGCTTGAGATGAAAGCAATTTAGTCGTGGCCATCCTGTATAATAAATATCAGTTCATCAAGTTTGGACGCTCCCTTGATCTCAGGGGCCAACCCTCATCCGTTGTCAAGTATGATTCTTAAGAATGGTGAACAGCCAGCCTCCAGTGCAAGAATTGTGTGGTCAACCCTGTAATGGAATCTCTTTCCAATGTGCTGAATGTAAGCGAACCATCAGTGATGTGATGTTGACCTAGGTAGCGCTTGTGCCAGAATATTCAGCATGATCGAACATGATAGCCAAAATGAGTAGGTTTCTTCAGTTGCCACCGTACCATTCAGGCAGCCATACACTAGCAACATTGGTTAAAGTGCCAGAAACTACAGAGAAATACTGCAATATTCGGTTTATTACTCTGATTAATCTAGGCTTTGATGGGGATGGACACTTTGCCCTTTTATTCAGCTGACTTCCTTTTTTGCTAGTGAACAGCTATCATATACAGACAAGAACAAAAGAAACACTTATTGCGACATAAATGCAATGATGACTCATCTCTGGTTCCATTAGGAAACAATTCTAAACTGAAGCAAAGAGTTATCTCGATAAAGGACAACCAACTCGTGCCTTCATCTACAAGATTGAACCTTGTGCCAGGCATCAATAAAAGAAACCGAGCAAAATTCTTTACAGGCAATCATGTCATGAACATTAACTGTTTCTTGACTTGATGACTAAACAAAAATGAAACCTTTCTTCCTTGCTGACGTATAGGCAATTTTAACTTTAACTAGTATTAAATCTTTTTCATACAAGGTTCAACTGGCAACCGCCAATGCAGCCCTGGGTATTTGATCTTTGTATCCAGCAACCTGGAATAAAATACAAATACACAAGTGAAACTTTAGCTGTAGTCAACTTGTACCGTCAAGTCCTGTACCCCCAATTCATGGTACAGATTATGCACATATTGAAGTACCGGTCGATCCTCAATTCCCTTCTTCACCTGTGAAAGCCATCCAACAATAGAACAACTGATATAGTGCAAGTGTAAAACCAATAGCATAAAGCAAAGCAGATCCTTTTGAAAGGTGAATGTGTGCCCAATCAGTTTTATGGTCAAATAGAACTAATTGCTTGTGCCGGTTTAGTTATGACATATGAATACCGTTGCCATCCAAACTTCATTGTGATACCTACCTGTAATGAAATTGATCCAATGACATGACCGGGCACCAGTTCCCAAAAACGAGCTTGAGAAACTTCTGAAATTTCTTCCCGGGTGCTTACCTAACAATTCACTGAAAGAATTAATCAACTGCAAATACGAAAAATTATCTATTTGTCTTATGTAGTAAAATATAATGCAAAAATAGATAGAACTACCTGTCTCCAGCATTTGCTCAAGGCTGAAGATGGCATGCTGGGAGGGGCCATTTGCAGCAGGATGCCACCAGTGGCTTTAAAAAGTGGTATCACGAGCATAAAAACAGTAAATGAAACTAGTCCCAAACACAAAACCTCAGCATTTCTCACCCTGCAAAAAACCAGCACATAAATAGGTAGGTATGTGATATTTAGTTGAAACAAAACATCCTTAATCAAAGGAGAGAGCAAATACCCAAGGGCTAATAACCAGGATGCTAGGATTAATCCTGCACTGAGAAACAAAGAATGCAGACAGATTAAGACCCATGAGCAAGCAAATGAAATAAAATAGAAATTAGATATTCAGAAAGACACGTAAGAGGTACCTTATATATGTAAATGTTAATATGCATGTGCTTGTGCATGTGTAGTAAAATCACATGAAGGCATATATGTGTTAAAAGAAATGCATCTGTGATTACAGTTATTCGTCTCATACCTACGAATAGAGTCTGCAAGAACATGCAAGCAAACTGAGTGGTAATTCATATCTTCAGCATTTCTGTAAACTGCAATTAATTTTTCACATAAGAATTTCAACATGGAAGCATACATATATATATATATATATATATATATATATATATATATATGTTATTTTCCACTAATGGAGAGAAAATACATACAAGAACACAACAGGAGGAGTCAACACATGATTCATTAGGAAAAAATATGGAAAGTAACAAGACAGCCTCAACTTAGAGGTAAGAAAACTCCAAGCACAAGCAAGAGACTTACCAAGATTAATGCGAGCATAGTTCCTGAAGAACCACACACCAATGAGATTCACCAGCAGATTAGTCACAGCAGAGACTATCAAGTAATGCCTAGAAGTTGGAATTGATTATAGATCAGAGGAGAATTATAAATAAGTGAAAAGCCATTCTAAAATTCAACAGCAGAACTTACTTTCTAATTGAAATAATCACATTTCCTAGCCAGAAAAGGTATATCCAGAAACTAGTCATAATAGATTTCTCTTATTCCCTATTTCTGAAAATTTGTATCCTCAAGATAAAAAAAAATGATGCTTAGGTTGAGACAGATGAAGTGAATATGTTTCTTAAAATTTCTTCAGAGTTCAGAAGAAAAGAAATCATTGGGACTGTAAAAGAGAAAGTTATTCCTAGTACATAGATGCAGTTAAGAAAGTCAATTAGTGGATTACAAAATGATTTCTTAATGTAGACCATATTTTAATTTTCTTTCCTTATATTGAGAGCTAAGCTTCTGCGGATTACAAAATGACTTCTTAATGTAGACCATATTTTAATTTGCTTTCCTTATATTGACAGCTAAGCTTCTGCTCATGCTGTCGAGATAAAAGACATTAACTAACTTTCGCCTCATTTTTAACATCAGGCCTCTGAACATTTCATTTTCTTCCTCTAAATAAAACTTAAGAAGAAGGCCTGTAACAGAAAAAGGAGAACTAATACAGGAAAATCTCATGAGTGTTAGCCAAAATCACAGACTCTCTTTTGGTGGGAATTCTTATGTCTTGAGTTACTTCAAATTTCAATTTCCAAAATACAGGAATGCTTCAATCTCATGTTAAATAAAGTTTTCAATCAATAAACTCCAAAACATTATCACACTCACTTTGATCAAAAGTAATGATAAAGTTGAAAAGCTTAGTGAAAACCAAAAATAACTGTTGTTACTTGATTAGCAGTACAACAAAGAGAAAAAACAATAGGTGCATATAATTGTTTAAATACATATATATAAATACATACATGTCATACTAAAAACATAAACTTTGTACAGGGGAAGAGGGAGAGAAAAAAACAAAACTGACTTTGTTCATGAAATGACAATATCTTCCACGTGACAGTCCTAAAAGGTGGTTTGCATATCCTGAGACTACCAACTTACTTGTGCTCAGATTCATCTTGTATAAATGCATGGAGTGCTTCCACGGCCAAGGAGAATGACAAAAACAAAAGAAACAGCTGTCTACACCAGGAACACAGACAAAACATTGACATGTTAATACATAGATGCAAAATACATCAATGCAAGTTATACACATAGAGAATGGGACCAAAATTTTCTCAACAACAAAAGCCTATTCTTTTAAATACTTTTGCTTCGTAGGATATTCCTGGACTAGAAAGATAGATGCTTTGAAGACATCATTCATTTGTCTATCTCAAACAGATGCTTTATTGGAAAATTACTAGAAGCTTCTCTTAGAGCATGTCACTATGAAAAGGCAAGTCGAAGCATGATCAAAAAGTATAATACTTACAGCATTGGTGAAGGCAGACAGAACCTCCAGTCTTTTATACCTGACAGAAATTCAAATCCGGATCAATTATCCTTTTGAAAACTGTTCATCTCAATAGTCCAGAATACACGACCGAGAGCCGTCATCATACTAATATAGGAGATCGAGAAAATGTTACCAAACAAATTATATTCTTTTCCAATTGAAAACAACTCCACATTTCAAAATGGTTTGTTTAAGAATATCCCCTTGAACATACCTTCGTAATCTTTCTGGAGGATACATTAAATTAAGGTAGCAACAAAATAAACTGGCTAATCAAAAAGCTAGCAATGAAGAGAAATTTTTAAGACTACTCAGCTAAAGAAGCTACATAGCTAAACTAAAGGATTGAATCTCACCCGTATGTATAGCACCTATCAGGCTTTCTCCGTGAAGTGACCATTGCAAACAAGGAAAAAGTCAACAGTCCACAGCCAAACGTCAAGTGAAATGCATCAGAAACCAAACCTGGACAAAGCAAGAACAAAATCAAATCTAAACACCACAAACCAACTAATATAACTATAACCAAGAAAATGATTACGATACATTAAGCCCAAAATAATCAGTTTTATTCAATAAATTTACCAAATCAGGTTTACAGCTTGAGAGAATTCATCCCATTTTCCAGCAATTTTTTTTAAATAAAGATAAAAGATAAAAAGGTTTAGTATTTTAATTGTGACTAAACCTATATATTTGCATCTAATTTGACTAATGTTTCTCAAGTGTATAAATTCACAAGCCAAAGTCATTAATGGTAAAAATTGACTAATGCTCCTCATTAACATTAGCGAGCAGCATTAATAAAGTGCATAGTTCTAATTATAGTTGGTAAGCTATACAGCATATCGAAATTTAGAAAAAAAAAATAAAAGCTTCAAAATTTTCATACCTACTCGGCCGGAGAAAAGTCCAATACACAATTCAGCAGAAGAATAAGCAACGTTAAGCGATATCAACACGAACAATTTCCTTAGCTGCTTATTCCCCGATCTCGCGCTCTTAAATATAAACAAAATAAACGACAAAATTGACAATTTCTCATCTAACTCCTTTGACTCATCCGCAAAATTCTCGATTTTATCGTATGAATAAAGATTCAGGGGAATATCAACGCTAGAACTTGTTCTGGATAGAAACGGCTTGGTAGAATCCTTGATCGAGACAGGAGTCTGAGGCTCCTGCGGCGGTTGGTGAAATGAAGGCTGCCGGGAATAAGCGAATCGGCGATCGGTGTCGCCGCCAAATGAGAAATCACCGTTGATTGACCGTGGGGATCGGGATTCGGAATCGAGCTTTTGGTAATGATGAAACGATGCGTTTTGAGCCTTCCCGTAAGAGAATCTCGAGTTGTCCATTAGGGATGAGAGCTGGAGTAAAGAAAACTCCGCTCGGGGAAGCAATGCTATATAAGCAATACGACTATACGAGTGATTGAGCGGAAGACTTTCGAGTCAAAGTAAGGTCGTTGTCGAAGAAAATATATAAACTGGATAAATTGCCTAAATAGTGCTCCACCATTCTAGCGTCTTCTTTTTTAGTCCCTCAATTTTTATATAAAATTATTTGGTTCCTCACATATTTTTGACAGGAATAATTTTCTCGATAATCTATTTGAAAGATAATGGGAAAATCGTCCAAAACGTTCCCCATATTTTGTAAAATGACTTTTTTCGTCCCTCATTTTTAAAAGTATAATTTTATATCTCTTACATATTCACATCGATCAAATTTAGTCCCTAATTAAGTTTCCGATCATTTTTTTGTCGGAATCCATCACGTGCAAGGCGCGTAATCATTTTTAAAGGGTAAATTTGTCAAATTACATTTTACATAATCTAATCTATAGTCCTCCACATTTTATAAAATAAATTTTTTCGTCCATCACATTTTATAAAATGATTTTTTCATCCCTCACATTTCACAAAATGAATTTTTCCATCATTCACATTTCAAAAAATGAATATTTCCATCCTTCACTAATTATGTGTGTGAGGGAAACCCTAAAAAAAAATATGTGTGTGAATACATTTTGTTTAAACACATGTATATGTCTATTTAATTTTACTTAATAATACGAATAACATAAATATATGTATGTGTCTATTTGATTTCACTTAACAATACGAAAACCATATATTATACGTGATCATTTGATTTCATCTGATATTAGCTAGTAAAAAATCTTCAAGTTGACCAATAAAACTATTTTCCGTCAAAATACAATAAGAATATGCAAATTAAAGTTCTATTAGTAAATATTAGTCATAATCATATAAAAAGAGAAGATAGCCCACAAGTTGGGTCCAATTACATACATGTGTTTATGTTATTATTATTAAGTAAAATCAAATAAACATATACATGTGCCTAAAAAAAAAGGAAAAATCGTCCAAAACGTTCATCACATTTTGTAAAATGACTTTTTTCATCCCTCACTTTTAAAAGTGTAATTTTATGTCTCTCACATATTCACATCGGTCAAATTTAGTCTCTAACTAGGTTTGCGATCATTTTTTGATCGAAATCCATCACGTGCAAGGCAGTGATCATTTTTTAACGGTAAATTTGTCAAATTATATTTTACATAATCTGATCTATAGTTCTCCACATTTTATAAAATAAATTTTTTCGTCCCTCACATTTCACAAAATGAATTTCTCCATTGCTCACATTTCAAAAATGAATTTTTCATTTCTCACTAATTATGTGTGTGAATACATTTTTTTTAAACACATATATATGTCTATTTGATTTTGTTTAATAATAATAGCATAAACACATGTATGTAATTGGACCCAACTTGTGGGCTATCTTCTCTTTTTATATGATCATGACTAATATTTACCAATAGAACCTTAATTTGCATATTATTATTATATTTTGATCGAAAATAGCTTTATTGACCAACTTGACAATGAATGCAAGATTTTTTACTAGCTAATACCAGATAAAATCAAATGATCACGTATAATATATGGTATTCGTATTGTTAAGTGAAATCAAATAGACATATACATATATTTATGCTATTCGTATTATTAAGCAAAATCAAATAGACATATACATGTGTTTAAACAAAATGTATTCACACGTATTTTTTTTTTAGGGTTTTCCTCACACACATAATTAGTGAGGGATGAAAATATTCATTTTTTGAAATGTGAGGAATGGAGAAACTCATTTTGTGAAATGTGAAAGATAAAAAAATTATTTTATAAAATATGAAGAACGAAAAATTTTATTTTATAAAATATGGAGGACTATAGAGTAGATTATGTAAAATATAATTTGACAAATTTACCCTTAAAAAATGATCACGCGTCTTGCATGTAATGGATTCCGGTCAAAAAATGATCGAAAACCTAGTTAGGGACTAAATTTGACCGATGTGAATATGTAAGGGACAAAAAATTACACTTTTAAAAGTGAGAGACGAAAAAGTCATTTTACAAAATGTGATGAACGTTTTGGACGATTTTTCCTAAAAAAAAAGTATTCACACACATAATTAGTGAGAAATGAAAAATTCATTTTTGAAATGTGAGGGATGGAGAAATTCATTTTGTGAAATGTAAGGGATGAAAAAATTTATTTTATAAAATGTGGAGGAATATAGATCAGATTATGTAAAATATAATTTGACAAATTTACCCTTCAAAAATGATCACGTGTCTTGCACGTGATGGATTCCGGCCAAAAAATGATCGAAAACCTAGTTAGAGACTAAATTTGATCAATGTGAATATGTAAGTGACATAAAATTACACTTTTAAAAGTGAGGGACGAAAAAAGTTATTTTACAAAATGTGAAGAATGTTTTGGACGATTTTCCCTTTCCAAGAAGTATTGATGTTCTTAATTATTTTTGAAAATTGACTCTTAAGTCCATTTGTTTCTTCTCGAACCGATGGATTCAAAATAAATGCATAAGCATTTTGCTTGGATATACCTCCTGCATGTTTTAGGCCTCAAATATTTTCAACTACAAGACCTTCAAATTTCACACTTAAAAGTTCGAATTTGGTAGTGACAGAAACAATAATTACAATACTACAAAAAAGTCTTTGAGTTCACCCTTTAAAAAGAACTAGGAGGTATAAATCGCGTGGTGCGCCATGGAGATAAAAATGTGTGTGCCCAGTTTAACATAAATAGCTGTGAAATACCTATATATTTAAGGACATTACTACTATTTGAAAGATAAAGAAATCGGAATTAAAAAAATGTAACACAAGACTAAGAAGAATCGAGAGATTACTATTAGCACTTAGGGAACAATATGCTAATTAAAGTTTACAAGAGAAAAGAACAGATGTCTTTAAGGATAGGTTTAATTAAAGTTCCAAAAAAAAAACTCATGAATTTAAGTTACAACAGTTGTAGTGGTGCTCGAAATTTCAAGCATCAACTCGTATGCCATTGCCTACTGTTGAAGAAAAATTTAAGGCCATAACACCAAACTGAAAAATCAGTATTAATTATCTTCACCAATTTTTTGCTATGTTCATACATATGATCAATCCTTCATAGAAATACCAGAACACATGAAATAACTTTTAACTTATACAGATAATAGATAACTTCAAAATAAAGTTACCAGTGGTATATATTTAACATACCAAGTACTTCCACAATGTTTCTCACTTCACAAATTATTTCACTCCCACTTGGCAATCTCCTTAACAACATGTTTATGCCACTCATTCTATTCATACCACCCACAAAACAGACAGAATTTTAAAAAATCCACCAGACAACAAGTTTCTATGCCCCTCATTGTTCAATCTATATCTATCACCAGATCATAAATTATTATATTTAAACAATTAGACAAACACCAAATTTGAAAAAGAATATGATCTGCATCAGTAGTTTTGAGGTGTGAGGCCTTGGATGACAGTCTATCAAACCAAAGAACTATGGACCTCAAATATACTCAATGCCTTTACATCCATCTACCAACAGAAGGAAAGAGAAAATAGGTCAAGAAAGAAAAATGGGGAAAAAAGGGTGAAATCATATAGATTATACATGCATATAGAATTCAAGAAAAAGAGGAAAAAGACATAGCAAAAGTAAAGTAATAGCAAATAGAGAGGCCAGAACAGAAAAAAAAAAAAAGGATACTCAGTACATTGAAGAAATGGCATTCAATACAACCAAACATGAATAAATTGGGTCCCAAGAAAGGCATTATTAGCTAGATAGTGAATAAACCACCGCCTCGAAAAAACAACCACCAACTCCAATCCCACTCAACCTCCCAAGAAAACAAAGTTCATCAACTCTCTTTTGAAACGAAGTACATGACAAATAACTTTTACAAATATTAAAAGAGAGTGTATCACGAGTAAGCACCAACATTACTCGTTCCTTAAGATTGAAGAATGGCATTATTCACTGATAGCCAAGCTATCGCATCTATCTTCTTTCTTGAGAACTCATCAATTGAAAGTCCTGGTACATGGACAACAAGACAGATCTATAGTGCCACTAAGAAAGCAATGAAAACGAAAGAAAGTCCAGACCAAAGTAACTGATTAAATTTTTTCACTAATCAAAATTATAAATAATCGCTAGTCACCAATAATTCATGTACGAACTATTAACATCTGATGCTATAAGAAGTCATTTCAAACAAAAGCCATAGAGTAAAGATCTCCATGCTCACCTTGAACAATAGCCCATTCTCCATTCTTACAGGTTACTAGGAAGGAATATATAAGCCCGACAGGCACATTGTAAGAGCCATCAGAGTATACACCAATAGAAAGCCATGTGCCCTACAATGCAGCATAAATCGTGAATGAGAGCAGAGTAAGTATACTATGCATATTGTGCAAAGTATGCACACTAAGATTTACCTCATGAGTTCCAAGGACCTAATCACGGATGTGGTCACAACCGGCACTAGCAGCAGAGAGTGCACTCAAGGCTTCCTAGCCTTGATCATTGCAACACTACAATCTTTGGATTGTCGTTATGAACTCTATATTCAACCTAAAAATTTAGATAATATATATTCATTAAAACCATGTGAAATGTGAAACCAATACCAAACAATGGCAATGAATGGAGAATTTAGAAAACCTAAGAAGCAAATTGCAAAAACTTGAACTTTTTACCAGGCATCATCAGCTATAAGCTGACGAACAGGCTTTTCTCCAGCTAATGTTTTAATAGTTGCGTGGTTGACATCAAGATATTATGTTGAGGACTGATTTCCGTATATAACGGCATTTTTAACATCACTAACTTGAACGCCCAATTTTTCTGAGATTTGACCATGGGCCCTATTGTGGTCCAATCTTGTCAAACAAGTAATGTTTTTTGTAGGAATTGATGGTGCAAACTCCTTCAAGATCAATGCAGTTGTGTTGGCAGGGTTAGCAACAACCAAAACCTGGGAGAACAATCAGCAGAAGACCATTTAAGATATGATATCTAAAGAGAAATAGAAATATGACCGGAAACCTAAATTCTTTAGACCATTTTCATCATACATCAACCTGATTTGCATCAAGTTAACTAACTGCCCTCATTGAAAAAAGTTCAGGAGGACAGAATAGTTTGAAAAACTAACCAACTGACATGATCATACCTAGTTGGAATGATAAACAGGTTTTTCCAAACACGTCAAACGGGAAAAAGGAAGCAAGTCAAGGAAATTTATAATTATGCTTATAAATCCATTCTTTACTTGACTATCAAGTATTAACAAATGTTAGCTTTCATATAGGAATAACAATTAAGACGGCTAGATGACAAACCTTTTAATAAAAGAAAAGTAGCATCAACCAGCTCCGTTTAAACTCCATTGAGTGCCTCGGTAGCTGGTGGAATATCAAGCATGTGACGGATCACTGGCTGATCAGGTCCCAACATCACTCCTTTGGCAATCATGGGCACATGAGCATATCCAATTTGGCCTGAAATAAACCAATGTGTTTCAGATCAGTATATTTCATAATTCACTAAATTATATACTCTTTTTGAGTAATAGATTTTTGCATTCAAAAGAACTTGTTCTCCTCACTTCAACACCCCGAAAAAACAACCACCAACTCCAACCCCATATCCTTTTTCAGATTATTTTCCTAAAATTGGCTACCAAAAAAGAATCTGAGTAAATAGGAAAAGGTATACAATGAAGATACACAAGGTTCATGAGTTTCAGCTAAAAAAAGGTGGTTTCAGCTGTAAAGACATAAATATTATTTTCTAGCAGATTAAAACAATAGATGAGCAAGCAAAAACATATGCATCTATTAAATAACAGGGTACATTGCGTTAGTTATGATCCAATTAAGCAGCAAATTATCAATTGTATGAAAAAGTGCAGAGGAAGAAAAACCTAAACGATGTCCTTGGTTAGAGCGAAATCCAATGGGACTTAGTAAGAGAATAACTGAACATGCTGACAACAAATCATTAGCCACCTTTCAAAAATGTTTGCAACCATATAGGGGATGTCAAATATTTGGCATATATATGAAGTATCAATGAGTTTAAATATTTGAAGGCACATCATCAAAATATGAAAAGTATTCAGTTAAAATATTCTCAGGCATTCAATAAGATTTGTAGGAGTTTCATAAATGCTAGAATTAAGCAAATCAGCGCCACCTTTAGTACCATTGAATTTCGATGTATGACGTACTCTTAAAAGGATTGTTCTACCCTAGGGATTTAGGTTAGGATTTACTAATTTTTCAAAAGTGATTAACCAATATAAAGGCCGAAATACCCGGATTATCATACACATAACACCATAAGCATCAGCGAAAAACAGGAAATAGAACCAAAGCAGAAGGATTAAAGTGAAAAATTAAGAGATAAATATCATTAGAAAAGGACAGAGGGTATTCTAGTTCCAAAAAATTCATCAGGATTGATGGAGGATGAACAAGCTTCCTGTGAAAAAAACCTAAATGAGAAGAATGGAAGAAAAGAAAGAAATATTTGGTTGGATAAAAAGAAAACAAAGACAAACCTCTTCAGACCAAAGTAGAACAAAGACGAGAGAGAGAAATTCAATGTTGGGGTTAAATAAAAATTAAACCATAAAAAGGAAAGCAAATAGGAAAGTTATGGAATTACCACAACAAGTTGTTCCGTCTTAACCAATTGCAGTGGTGGTGGACGAAGAAGGAAGGACGAAAAGCAAAAATGTGAGGCGAAAAAGAAGGGGAAGAGAGAGAAGGGCATAAAATTTGAGAGAAACCTTAGAGAAAGCAGCACAAAAGAAAGTACCGGCCACTAAACGGTGTCGCACCAATCGATTAAAAACACATTCAGCAACCAGAACACAAAAAACTTTATATTTCTTTCAGGGGACACGCAAGTGATGACGACGAAGATGAAACTCAGCCAAAGAGCAATCTTGTCCCATAAATAAAGGAAAAAGAAGGGTTGTAGTGGTGGTTGATTGAAGAAAAGAGGGCGAGGCAAAGGGTAAGGTGAAGGAGGAGGGAGCGGCAGAAATATGAGAAAACCCTGGAGAGCAAGTCTATGTAAGTGTCTGATGAATCAATCCTAACGCATGACATGAATGGTTTTTGGCGTTTCACATGCTTGGCACGTGAGAGGACGACGAAAACGAAGCCAGACCAAAGAGCTCTTCAACTCTTATTCTATATATGTTGATAATAATTACCGGAACATAAAAGAGTTACATGTAAGAGCCAAGGACATTTGCATTTGTTAAATTGAGGGATGAAGAAAACCATAAAAGGTGATTGGTATGTTTTACATATATTACACTGTTATTAAAATTCAAGCTTCTAGTAGTGACTTCTAAATTAAATTTTGGAAGTTTCACTTTGAAGTTGCATTTTTTTTAAACTAAACTTATAATAAAATATTGAATTCTTGTAAATGTCTAACTTGAATCAATGGCTTCGTACAGAAGACAAGAATACTGTGATTTTAAAGTTAGATTGAAAGCCTTTTATCCGTGACTATTCCGCTATAAGCATCTGTATTTTGTTCATAGTTATTAAACTCGACCTGGTCCGATAATTGAATTGGTCAAATCAGTGGACTGGCCATGAAACCAGGCCGGTGTAGCAATTGAATTGGAGTTGCAGGTGACTAGTTTTGAACAGTTTGATTTGAACGGTTGAATTGATGATCAGCTAAACCCAGTGGGTTTAAGAAATTTTTTTGAAATTACCTTTTTATCCAAATTTTTAATTTGACCAGTCACATTAGCATGGACATTGTTTTCTTTTTGATAATTAGATGAGAAAAATTGAAAAGAAATTTGAAAATTAGGGTTTCTTTCTTTCTTTCTTTAACATTTAGGTTTATCATTTATGTTTATGTATAATAATAATATGAATTCATGAACTAAGGAACATGTATGAGTATGGCATATGTATATGAACTATGAAATATGAATAGGTTATGACTTGTTAACATTTAAGAATTTCTGTACTTATATTATAATTTATAAGTTTGTTTAATTATATTATTCTTTTTTATTATAAAGTGTGGCTCGACGGTTCAACCAGTAACCCCCTAATTGAACCACTAATCCGCCAACCCGATTCTCATGCCGGGTTGATGCCTGGGTTGGTTTTAATAACTATGATTTTGTTCCTAATTCTATCATTACCGATCATTTTACGAGTATTAGTATTGTGCCAAAAAAAAAAAGAAAAAAGGGGAAATAGTGGAGATGCTGATGAGTATTAATATTGTGGGCAAAAAAAAAAGGGAAACAATTTTATGAGTATTAATATTGTGCCCAGAAAAAAAGGAAAAATTGAGAAATATTGGAGATGCAGGGTATCGAACCCCGTACCTCTCGCATGCAAAGCGAGCGCTCTACCATGTGAGCTACATCCCCTTTGATCCAAGATTAATGCCTAGATTGATTTTAATAATTATGATTTTGTTCCTAATTCTATCATTACCAGTCATTTTACGAGTATTAGTATTGTGCCAAAAAAAAAAAGAAAAAAGGGGAAATAGTGGAGATGCTGATGAGTATTAATATTGTGGGCAAAAAAAAAAGGGAAACAATTTTATGAGTATTAGTATTGTGCCCAGAAAAAAAGGAAAAATTGAGAAATATTGGAGATGCAGGGTATCGAACCCCGTACCTCTCGCATGCAAAGCGAGCGCTCTACCATGTGAGCTACATCCCCTTTGATCCAAGATTAATGCCTGGATTGATTTTAATAATTATGATTTTGTTCCTAATTCTATCATTACCAGTCATTTTACGAGTATTAGTATTTTGCCAAAAAAAAAAAAGAAAAAATGGGAAATAATAGAGATGCCAATGAGTATATTAGTATTATGCCAAAAAAAAAAAAAGGAAAACAATTTTATGAGTATTAGTATTGTGCCCAAAAGAAAAGGAAAAATTAAGAAATATTGGAGATGCGGGGTATCGAACCCCGTACCTCTCGCATGCAAAGCGAGCGCTCTACCATGTGAGCTACATCCCCTTTGATTCGGGTGTTTGACTTCGCCCTAAACTGTGCTATCTTGTCTATCGGCGGCAACGACTGTGGAGGTATTAGTGGGAGTATTGCTTTTCCTGAACCAGTAGAGTAAGAAGCAGTAGTGTTTTCCCGCCATGGAGACGGAAGACTCGTCGTCGGAGAACGGCCTCCTTCACCGGAAACAAGCTCTATACTCTTCCCTGGTAAGTAAAAGAGACAGAAAAACATATGGCTGTTTTTCCTACTAGTATTACTTCTTGCATTTATTTTGTCTCTTTTCTCTCTGTATTTATATTTTTGGGTAGCTTGATTTCAAGAAAATCTTTGTTTGTCTCCTTGATTAACTCTGTTCTTATGAAAAATTGCCCCTTTTCTTATTATCTTAATTCACAGGACTCATGCTTTGAGATTCAGAAGGAGATGTACAGAGGTCAACAATACAGCCAAATATACTTTGCTAGGCTTCACTTGATGAGAACTCTTCTTTACTCTCTACTCCCCAATTGGAAACCCCACATTCACGGTATATTCTACAATCCATTATCCTTATTGCCTCCTTCTTTTTTCTTTTCTTTTTTTTTTGAGTTCAACATTGCTTGGATGATGCACTTAAATTTTCCAGGGGTACTTGTTTGTTATTGCTGTAGCTATACTTCAATCATGATCTTTAACAATTTGGGTCGGCCCCGGGGAGGGGAAAAAATTGTTGCCTTTGGAAATCTTTATTGGTTGATACCTGTTATATGATTCTGCTTCAATTTTTTACAAATAAGGGATTTTGGGTTTTTCCTGCAATTTATATTGTTGAAATTAGTAAAGGCCAAGTTTTTTTTTTTGGTGCTCTGATTTTGTTACTTTTTTTTTCCTGGGGTTTTCTGGAGTAGTTTCTCTCTTCAGTTCGACTTTTTCTTTTTCTTTTGACAAGCGAAGACCATTTCTTTGTTGTTTATTTTGTATGCTCAATTTACAAGAGATCACCTGACTTGGTGTTTTTCTTCTTCTAATTTTTGTTTTTTTTTTCTGCATTTAATTTAAGGACTTGAACAAGTTGTCTAAGAAGTATGCATGATAGGGATTTGATTCTGCAAGGCTAGTAGATTTGTCATGCAAAATCATGGATTTGCTTATAAATGGCCCCACTTTTTTTCCCCCTTTTTCCGGTAGTCTGCACTGTTATTGGATTAGAAGAAGGCAAGGAATGCATCATTGTTGGGACGCTCTACAAGCACATGAAGCTGAAACCTTCCATTCTTGAAGAGTACTCCAAAGAGGTAATGAAGTTACTAATGGATGATATTCTAATAATTTGCTTTTTCTTTTGTCTTATTGTTACTTTTATTTTTGCCAACTCATATGGTTTATTTCTTTGAGATATTAATGATGTAACTTGTCTTTCAGAGATCTGCAACCCCACTTGTAAGACCTCACAATTTTATGCACCCAGATGATCATTTAATTTTGGAAGATGAGAGCGGCAGAATTAAAGTTTGTGGAGATGTTCTTTTACCTTCTGTTTATGTGACAGGTCTGTATCTGATGCTGCTTCGGCACTTTTTAGTTTTGGCAGTCAAAAATTTGGTTTTTTTTTTCCCATCAGATTTCTCCACTTCTTCTGTAACCTTTCCATTTTTAGGTTGGTTCTTCGGATGATTACTAGAGTTACCACTAAAGATTAGTAACCCATCCATTTTGTTCCAAACAATGTTCTATAACAGGTGTCGTGGTTGCATTGCATGGAAAAGAAACTGGTACAGGTGACTTTTGGGTTGAAGATGTCATGGAAGCAGGCATACCACACCAAATAGAGCGGCCAATTAAATCAGGTTGGAGTGCTGCTTCTTTCACCATTTCTCCCTAGTCCACCTAACTAATTCATAATCATGGATGCCCGCAATTTGCTACGATATCTTTTGGCCATTTTAACAATTGGCAGGTAGTGGGTGATCAGATGATAAATATTATAACTCTGATAGAAGACCCCTGAAAAGTTGTTGGACTGATTAGAAATTTTCTAGAAGACAGCTTATGTGGAAACTGTATGTTCACTTAGTATCATTTCTGATTTATTTGCTCATGATATCATGTACTCTTGGTTGTATAAGCACCAGAATCTTTTGTTTTAAGCATAATTAATAAAACCTATAATCTTAGGAGAGAAAATAAGTAGTTCTGAATAGATATACGTGTCAGAGGAAAGCAGTAAATGTCTTGGAACACCACCTTATAGTGCATAAGTGTTTGAAGAAGATAATACTTATTGATGTACTTGTATAAGAATAGAGTAGCCATCTTCTTGGCATGTCCTGTAAAGGAAGGTAGGATATCCATATGGAAATGGAAGTGGTAGTGGATCGATATTGCTATATTACTGATACTGGCTCTGCTGCTGATACAGCATTCAGTTTTCATGTAGTGTACTCTGATGTTAACTGCTTTGATGTTATGGTAGAAGCGACTCTGCCAATGTCTACCAATATGCTGAAAAAGTTACAGGAGTTTGTTTTGGTACACTATAGAGGTATTTAGAGCAATAGAAGGTCTTTCTTAAAATGTATATCTGATGACTGGTCCTTTTGGGGGAATAATTATATTATGATGGTTGTCATGGAAATATGTTGAATTAGTTTATGGGACAACCAAGCTGTCTTTTGGTATTTGGTGTTAATATTTATCCTTGTTTGTCCTTGAAAGTATTTTAAGGAACTTCATTTGATGCAAGCAGGTGAAGACAAATATGTCATTTTTGTTTCGGGCTTGGATATTGGGAGCAGCACTTCTAATCCTCTAAAATTCCAGCTTTTGGTTGATCACATAACTGGCCATCTTGGAGATAAAAAGGTTTATATGTGTATTCTGTGTTGTGCTTCCCTCTATGATTGCTCTTTTCATCACTGGTTGCCCTATAGATCTCATGTGAATTCCTTGAGTGCATGTCACAGGAACAAAGTATTGCTGCCAAGATAGTTCGAGTAATTATTGCTGGAAATTCTGTTGAAATCCCCCGTGGGCTACTTAATGGTCAGGTACTGTTCTTTGCCCGGCTTCCACAAAAAAGCTTCTAACAGAACTTGCTTTACCCTTTTGTTGGTCTTTTTGTTACCACTTTTTGTGCTTCTGAGGTTGTATGGACAGATTACTTATGTACCTAATGCAAGTTTCTTTCTCTGTGAATGCAACAGTTGCATTTTCTTATTGCAGGTTGTTGCCAGTAACATTGGCTGCATCTGCATTTCATAAATTTTCCGAAGAAAACGTTAATTTAAGACAAATGAAAAATAACACTCTAAAGGAGAGGTTTTCTTTTATTTTTTGAACATTTTTTTTAACTCCAGGATTATCATATACACATGATCTTTGAGATTGAGAGAAAAAGCAAGTAGATCGACGATTGCTTTTGAGACATATTATATTGATAATTTTGGGCTGAAATCATTGGTCTGGCTGCAATTGAGTGGCATTCAAAGTTGATTACTTGGATTTTGAATAAGATATAACATACCTCACATTCTGCTTGCTGGACTTGTGTTCGTGTGTCATTTATAGGTGTAACATTTTGTGTAGGCTTTGCTGGATGTTTTAATCTGAAATTTGAAATTAGTTCAGGACTTGGATTCTGCTGGTGTTTCATTAAAAATGTATCACTTGAAATCTTTAGCGTCAAAGACATAGACCCTGAGGTCATACCACGTTTTTCAAAAGAATGAGTGAAGTTACCTTTTGGTGCTAGTATATGTAGAATAGCAGAGACACCACTTGTGCTAAGGCTTCTTTGTGCTCAATTAGAACACCATAATGCAAATAGCCATTTAAGCAGTTAATAAGAGTTTCCGCCATTTAAGCAGTTACTAAGAGTTTCCAGTGAGCATTTTTTCAATTTCTTTTGCAAAGTTAATGATTGATAATGAATATAATCCATTTCTGGCATGGTTTATTCTCTCAGCTGCAATGTTATGATGTTCAGATGTTAGCAACTTTACTTGATTGTGCAGAACTTAGGTTCTAAGGATCAATTTACATTGTCTGAGCCAATTAAAGAGCTGGATATTCAGTTGACTCAGGTACTTTGATAGCTATCTCTTGACCTCTGAGTATGGAAAATGTTTGTTTATAGTGCTTAAAATATCTACAGATTGCTGCAGGTATACCAGTTGATATTATGCCAGGGCCAAATGACCCTGCCAATTTCTCCTTGCCACAGCAGGTTTGTTAACATTCATTGTGTGCTCGTTGACATTCTTAGGTAAATTGAGGCGGGGATGGGATCTGGAGTACAATTTATACTGTCTGTAGGAGTTGCTTTGCATCTACTTTTGGCTTACTACTTGTTAGTGATCCAGCAATCTGCCATTTCTAGTTTAGATTTACACTTTATTTGTTTTTATCTTTCAGCCTTTGCATAGATGCCTTTTTCCTAGCTCATCAGCTTACAACACATTCAGGTCCTGTCCTAATCCTCATTTGTTTCAGCTTGACGATGTTAGGTGAGAAAACATGTATGCTTTCCTAGATGTAACACAATATGAAATTAGTCAATTTGTTAAGATATCTCATCTTAATCCTCATTTATATGCTTTGCTGGATGTAGCACCAAATGAAATTAGTCAATTTGTTAAGATATCTTGTCTTCAGTTTGCTTGGAACATCAGGTCAGAACATTGATGATCTCGAGAAGTATTCAGATGCAAATGATAAACTTGAATTTTTGGAGAGGACACTGAGATGGAGACATGTTGCACCAACGGCACCAAATACCCTTGGTAAATGCTGCATGCTTGCTATATTTGAATTGTCCTGTTCATAGGTTTGGCTAAATGTTGCACTTGCGTGCATTTGTTCTTTGACTTCGATGGGGCCGGGGCATACTATGTGTAATGATTCCACCGTTCACAAAATAAAAAGAAAAGCCATTCCATTTATAGTGGTTTATTCTTGTATTAAAGTTTGCACTGAACCTGTCGGTATCTTGCAGGATGTTATCCTTTTACTGACAGGGATCCTTTTTTCGTTGAGACCTGTCCACATGTTTATTTTGTTGGTAATCAAGAGAAATACGAGACTCGCTTGATCAAGGGTATTCATTTTGCTACCCTTTTTATCTTGATTTCTGTTTCATTTTGAAGAAAACAATTTACAAAATAAGCTTCAATTGCAGGAGCAGAGGGACAAATAGTGAGACTAATCTGTATTCCCAGATTTAGTGAAACTGGAGTTGCTGTGGTGGTAAGCTTTTTAATTTCTACTCTGTGGATGGATGCCTCTTCCAAAGGTTGTAAAGTAGGCCATAAAGAAGTGAACAAAGCTATTTGAATTTGATATTTGTGGTTCTAAATTGGAGTTCATTGAGGGTTTGACAATTTAGGTTGCTAAATTCTAGTTTCTCTTTTTGGAGATAAGGTGAGCACAAGTTCTTCTACTGGTGTCAAGACTTCCTTGACATTTGAAGGAGTCATATATTGGTCTAAAGGTTTTGTGACAGAATAAAGATTGTCAATGGGGACTCATTGACAGTAAAGCCTAGCATCACCCCTTGAGTGTTTATTAAGGAAAATTAAGGGTGAGTTTGTCGTCATATAGTCATTTTGTGTGAGAGACAAGAAGTCAATAAGGTTCCACTCTTTAGCACTACCAGAAAGAAAAATGGGGAAACAGAGAATATATTTGACGCATCTCCTCTTACTCATTCTAAGTTTCTCTCTGAGTGTGTGTGTCATTTTATATACAAACTCAAGTTTAGTTGGGTAGAATAATACAAGGTTTCCACCCCCAAAGAGAATTTTCTTTAGCATTTTTCTCTAGTGAGGTTTCTCATACACCTAAAGTTCTTAAACTAGGGAAGGTTAGTATATAAGATTCCGCTGACAAAGTAATTCAAAGACAACACATATGGAGATGTAATTTGTAGTACGCCATGTTACCTTCTCGCTTACTTCATGATCATCTATCTGTATGGCTTTTCCTTCTTTCTTCTTTTTAATGTAATTTGTAAAAGCATTTCACTTCAGTTCCTCAAGGGTGTATTTCTCTTTTCTTCCGAGGCCCTTCCATGTTGAGCTTTAAGTCATCAACTTTAACATATGTCTCTTGAACTTCTTCAGTGAGTTCAAACAGTTTTGTTGTAATGCATATTAAGAGGCAGTTACTGATCTAACTAGGCAATCAGAAGCTCCAACGTGACGTGTAGCAGAACAGGGAATCCCTACCATTCATGATATGATGTAATTTGGTCTCTATGGCAATATGTTGTCTGATTGCTCAAGTAAAACATGCATAACTGTAAAAGGACTAAGACTCTAGATTCAGAAGCAAAATAAAGTGCAAGATGTTAACTTAGTACACACAAATCACATGGTAGAAGTGCAAAATGTTTTCATGCTCATAAGATAATAAATGAGTGCTCGTTTAAAAAGAAGCAATTTAATTCTCGATATCCCTTGCCTGCCTGGGCTGCTTTTCCTCATTACTTTTTTGTTTTCCTTAAAGTACCTAGAGTGCCATTAAACTACTCCAGTTGTCAAGTTTTGGCGCCGTATCTAAATTTTGTCTTAGAGTAGTCCCTGAACAATAAAAAGTGTGTACTTTCAATCCTTTCAGCCATTTTAGTTGTAAGAGTAGCTGGAATCCAAGGGCATTTTTGTCCAACCATGTAAGAAAACTACCGGGACTAATTATGCATCTAAGAATTAATTGGAAAATTTTTTAATATACAAAATTGTTTGGTAGCAACCTGTATTCATCAGTTTAGTATGAGGGATTTATTGTGCCACCTCTTTAACCCTTTCCATTTTGTCCTTCCGGTTTTTTTAGACATGTTAAATTGTCAAGAAAAAAAATTCCAAAATATGCAAATCATTTTCAACTTTGTGTCCATTACATGAGACAGAATGGCTTTTATATCAACAAAATTTGTCTCTACGGGTGCCTGCTTGTTGGTGTGTTTGCCTAATTGTCTCTCACTTTCTTTATGTGCTGCTTGTAAGGATTTGCAATGGCATTAAAACACTCTTGTTCAGGTTATATTCTTTTACCCTGGCAAGTGTCTTTTGTCTGCCGTCGCAGGCAATCTCTTTGGGTTGTGAATTATACTTTGGATGCAGCTTTGAGATAAAATTTCCTGCCAACACCACCTGACTTCCTCAGCAATACGAAAAGAAAAAAGAGAAGAAAAAATGAATATTGATTGGAAAGAAAATTGATTTCTTTAGAAAATGGCTTGTTGAAGCTGTGAATGATTAACCTAATGCAGCTTGCTGATTTCTGTGCAGTTGAACTTGAGAAATCTGGAGTGTCATGCTCTCAGTTTTGGGACTGAGTTCGGCTAATAATTATGAGGTACGAGTTGGCACTGCTTGGAAGCTGAAGATCTTCTAAGTTTACCTTCAAGTGTTGCTTGTGATGATCAGTATGTTGGGTGCTTAATGAAAGGGATACCTGTCATTTTCTTGCAATCAATCTTTTTTAGTTCTGAAACTTTGCAAGTTTTTGGATATGATGTTATACAAAACCTACTCTGGCCTGATAATATTGGAAAGGGAATCCATGAACTTGTGGATTAGGGAGTCATTGCCTAGGTTACAATGAAGTCAATATTTCCGGTGCTTAATCCACATCTTCATGATGTTGGATTTCTTCGTTGTCTCTTTCTCTCTGTCACTCTCTCTTTTTTTTTTTTTTTTTTGACATTTATGAATAGGTAGGCAATGTAGTAGTTTGTAATTGGAGAGAAATCCAAACCACCTCTAAGCATCAGTCTTACTCTCTTTTATATTTTACAAAGTGTCATCTTCTAAGTTTACATCTAGAGGTGACGTTGAGGTTCTGTGTTGTTAACCTATGATGAAATTTTGTTGAATGGTATCGGATAACACCTGATGATTGAGAACCTGAAGCATGAAGTCGTCATAACCAAAGATTAGAATATTCTGATTGACTGTTTAAAAGCTTGACTCAGCTTCAGCTTTATTTATTTGTAGCAGAATAGAGATTCTTCCAAAATGACTGACTGCAAAAACCACATAATTTTGGCTGCTGTTCTGGAGATATGAAGCATGCAGTTTCGAAATGTTTTTATTAAACAGAAAAAAAAAATTGGGTAAATGGTTTAAGGCTACTTCGAAAAAGGTTAGTGCTTCGAAAATGGTCAGACCTACTTCGAAAAAACCAAAAAAAAAAAAAAAAAAAGGGTTAAGGCTATACCTTTTGATTTTCAATAATTTATGCGTATAACGTTGGTTAGAACCTCAACTACCTAATCATTTTGTCATTTACTAGTAGAATAAGTGAGGAGCACATTAGTTCTTTATAATTCTCTCATGACTAATGAACTTAGCCAACTAATCCTAACTGTTTTGACACCTTATGAGCTATACATTAATTAGCAAGATGGAAGACTATTGTTTTGTCGTACATTAATTATGAGCTATACATGTTAATTACGAGCTGATGTATTCTGAATCTTGGAGAAAACAGTTGCTAATTTGCATTATTTTGTGATTTCGGTAGTGATAATTTAGTCCTTTATTTTCTCAATTTCAAGCTATTAAAACAAATTTAGTTAAGAATATGGAAAAGTGATTAATCACATATAACATGTCCTAAACTTAATTGCTCCCCTTGCAAATATTAAGGGAGCAAATAAAATGCTTGTAAAAACTTGAGAACCTAATACAGTGCTCAAAGTTAATTAGCTTTTGAGAAGCATGAGGAACTAGACATTCCATGCGTAAATTATACTCGCTACCTTTTCGTTCACTAATGCAGATTATTGCTCGTGAAAAACATTAAATGTGCCATGTGTCTTTTTTTTTTTTTTTTTTAATTTCAAAAGTTTAGATTATTACTCATGAAAAAAAAAAGATATTCCAAACACTGAATGTCCCATATCATGTCTTTTTTTCTCATGAAAAAAAAAAAACAAGATATCCCAAACACTGAATATGAGGATCATGTTGCATCAAACAACACTGCTAATATAACAGCTGTAACACTAGAATAAGATGCAGGCAGCGCCAGAACGAGCAAGAAGAAAAGGGTCCAAATGATGAATAGCAAACACAACAGACGAAAATTTGCCCGACTTTTACAAAGTCTAAGGAGGAACAAACAACTTAATGACATCAAAAGATTTCCTACCCAAGAAGAAACCTCTCGTTATTATGTATAACTCTGTAGTTACATACCAAATCTTGACCCAATCTCCTGCACAATTTTATAGGAGCCGGCCGCTGAAAAACTTGTGCCTTCCCTCTCAGATTTGAAAAAAGATGGGCGCCTCTATAAATAGAGCAGGCCACCTGAAGCAATCGTCTTCGCTGCTGTACATAATCACTCCTTTTCTCGATCTGAATTATTCACCATTTGCAGCTAGCTAGCACCAGACATGGGAAAGCACATGATCTTCTCCTGCTTTCTAGCTCTCACGCTGTTTAATGTTGCCTTTGCAACAGACCCCATGCCTCTGCAAGACTTCTGCGTGGCTGATAATTCTAGCCCAGGTAAGGTTACGTATTTCACGCACACACAAGATATATGTATGCTTAGTGAACTTTGACGTTATTACTAGTTCAATTGCTCACTGCTTTTCAATAATGGTGAACATTTTTAGTATGGGTTAATGGCGTGCCGTGCAAAGATCCCAAGCTTGTTACAGCAGAGGATTTCTTCTTCACGGGGCTGAATATTCCGGGCAACACCTCAAACGCTTATGGCTCCAAGGTCACCTCAGTATCCGTTGCTGAAATGCCAGGGCTAAACACTCTCGGGGTCTCAATGGCCCGCATAGATTTCGCACCAAAGGGAGTCAACCCCCCTCTATTCCACCCAAGAGCCACCGGAATTCTCACCGTTCTTGAAGGTACTCTACTGGTTGGATTCGTCACTTCAAATCCAGAGAACCGTCTGATCACCAAAGTTGTGCAAAAGGGTGATGTTTTTGTCATTCCTGTGGGACTTGTTCACTTCCACCGCAATGTGGGGGACACAAATGCTGTTGCTGTGGCAGCCTACAGCAGTCAAAATCCTGACAGCACTGCCATTGGAAAGGCTGTTTTTGGATCAACTCCCCTCATAAGTGATGATGTGCTGGCCAAGGCGTTCCAAGTCAATAGGAACACGATAGATGGAATCCAGTCTAAGTTCTAGTTCTTGACCAACTTATTCTGATGATTTCTTTTATGGCGACAAATCTTTTTGTTTTCCTTTCCAATTTTTCTTGAAGCCTCGTTGAAGGATGATCCATGTTTTTTAAAGTTGTTTGTTGATTCTTAATGATTCGACCATCATCATCAACCCCTGTAACGCGAAACAAATACATCATGATCAAATATGTTTTTTTTTTAATTGTGATTATACTTTTTTTTTTCTTTATAAAGTGTCACTTCCATGAATTTTGTCTAGGGGGTTCAGATAATGTTTGCTATTTACGACCCATTCATGTTGGAATCAGTCGTGAAAGTGATATGGCACTTAAAAAAAAAAAGCCCAATTAAAATGTTGTTTATTTCTCCTCTTGACGATTGACCAATGCTCCTCCCTCAGCTCCGTCCACCGCTCTTGACTTTTCTTCCTCGCCAGCCACCACCAGGTCCACCACGCCGTCCCCTTCATAAGCAGTCAATTCCACCGTCCCAGAAAATATCTATGACTCAATCCACCATCCCAGAAGGGTACCTAATTATAATCTTACCCAAAAGATTTCATCAATTTCTTGGAATATTTATTATGATTCCTTTCTGTTCTCTTCTCTTATCCAAACTTAAGTTGGTTTCAACTAAACCATCTTGAGTTTGAAGGGGAGATGTTAAGAAAAGATATGTATCCTGTACTATAGAGGGGTTAAGTGGCTATTATAATTTTATCTTGATAAACAAGATTATTATAACCAATTAATTCACCAGGGGAGATGTGAATGTGTACATGATCTTGGGACTTTTGAGGAATTATACAGAGTGCGATGAAGTGTGTTTTGTTTTAGTGGCACTTCTAACAAATTACACGCAACAATTCGAGTGGTACCCATTAAAACACATATGTCATGGTGCTTGTTTAATTCCCCGTACCAAGTCATTAAATCCACATAATACTCAAATTGTTCTTCCTTCTTTCTTTTTAATGTCCTAGATTGACAGGCTAAGCCTTGTATCTACTAGTTATAATTTTTTTTTTGGGGTATAAGAAATCTACTCTTAGAAGTTAGACTTTATTCTTTAGCACAAAGAGAGCAATAATTAGACTTCAGAACCATATGAGGGTTAGGGGGTAAGTTTTTTCCTTTTAATTTTTAAATGTACCGCTTTTGTTGAATTTGGCCAAAATTTAGCACTGTAGTTCAAGTTGACTTTAGTATCTGTACCTGTTAAAAGTCCTATTCTAGCTCTTATTTGGTCAAAGTAATAATGGAAGAGTTCAATGCAGTAAACGGCTGCAACTGCAATTCTTTTGACTTCAACAGTCCGTGTGTATAATACAGATTGGAAAGATATGTATACTGGCTATTGCACCAGTATAATACAATCCGATTCATGGTACTAGCATCGATGGATGTTGTATGCAGCGGAGTTGTTCTTCTCATGATACTGGCTACTGCACCAGTAGCGATAGCAGGAACAGAGTCTGCTGTGAATTTAGAAGCTGAAGCACTGCTCAAGAGTGGCTGGTGGGGAGTCAATACTACTGCAAGAAACGTCTCAGCCCATTGCCAGTGGCCTGGTATCATTTGCAACGATGCTGGTAGTGTCACCGAAATACTACTTCCGAACTACGGAATCCTAGATGACTTGACAAATTTCTGCTTCTCCTCTTTTCCGAACCTGGTTAGACTTGATCTCAGCGGCAATGCACTCGACGGAGCCATCCCACATCAAATAGGTGCCCTCACCAAAATCACCTATCTCAATTTGTCTTCCAACCATCTTCGAGGTGAGCTTCCTTCTTCTCTATTAAACCTTACACAACTAGCACAACTTGATATTTCTTGGAATTCGATTGAAAGTTTAATTCCTCCAGGTATCGGAAACTTAACAAACTTGGTTACTCTAAACTTGAGCCACAATATTTTTTGGAATCACATCCCTCCAACTCTTGGTCAATTGTCCAATCTTGCCTCCCTTGACCTCAGTAATAATATCCTCAGTGGAACAATTCCCTTGGCTCTTTGTCGTTTGACAAATCTTTCCCGGTTCGACATTAGCTTCAACAAGTATGTTGGAGGATCTCTCCCAGAAGAAATAGGACAGCTAAAGAGTTTAATAGAGTTAAAATTGAGTGGCAATCAATTTTATGGTGGCATCCCTCCCACTCTCGGCCACTTGTCCAAATTGGCCTCCCTCGATCTCAGTGACAATGCATTTGATGGAGCCATCCCACATCAAATAGGTGCACTCTCCAAACTCACCTATCTCACTTTGTCTTCCAACCATCTTCGAGGCGAGCTTCCCTTTTCTCTAGTAAATCTCACACAACTAGCTGAACTTCATGTTTCAAGTAATATTATCAAAGGCTTTATTCCCTCATTCATCGGAAACTTGACAAATTTGGTTACTCTATACTTGAGGTACAATAATTTTTGGGGTCGCATCCCTCCAACTCTTGGCCAATTGTCTAATCTAGACTCCCTTGACCTGAGTAATAACCACTTCAGTGGGACAATTCCTTCAGCACTTTTTAATTTGACAAATCTTTCCCGACTAGACATTCACATGAATACTGCAATGGGAGGATTTCTCTCAGAAGAAATAGGAAATTTGAAGAGTTTAGTTGAATTAGACTTGAGTTACAGTGTGTTCTCTGGCAGCATCCCTCCCGCTCTTGGCCAATTGTCCAATCTAAACTCCCTTAACCTTAATAATAACCACTTCAGTGGGACAATTCCTTCAGCTCTTTTTAATTTGACAAATCTTTTCCGGCTAGACATTCACTCGAATCCCTCAATGGGAGGATTTCTCCCAGAAGAAATAGGAAATTTGAAGAGTTTGGTTGAATTAGACTTCCGTTACCTTAATCTTTCAGGTGCCCTCCCTTCGTCTCTTGGCCACCTAACCAAACTAATATCTCTTTCAGGTGCTAAGAATCAAATTCATGGGTCCGTTCCCCCTGAAATAGGAAATTTAAAAAATTTGAAATATCTCAATCTTGCATTCAACTACCTGACTGGTCAAATCCCTTCGACCCTTGGCAATCTGACTGCTCTTACTTCTTTGATCCTCTCTTCTAACCAAATAAGTTGTTCCATACCCCTTGAACTTTTCAATATACCTTTTCTAGAATTTCTAGATATTTCTTCAAACCAAATTATAGGTCCAATTCCTATCCAATTTGGGGATGACATTATTAAATCCGAGTGGTACCATTTGACTTTGAATCTTTCCTACAATACTCTCTCTGGCACTGTTCCCTCGTCTCTTCTGCGACTCGGGGACGTCGACCTGTCCTATAATGCTTTGGAAGGTGAACTTCCATGTGATCTTGTCAATAAGTTTGGTTCAGAAAGATTTGCTGGCAATCCAGACTTACGTTACACTTCCACTCTTTGTGGTGCATCTCCTCCTGTTATGAAAAATCACAGGCATCACCCCCCATACTACATCATAGGTCTTGGCGTATCCTTGTTGGTGTTCTCAATAACTGGCGGACTAGTAATTTATATCTTCTGCTTCAAGAAAGTTAAAGTTGAGCCGATAGACAATAAACATGGAGACATTTTTAGAATATGGAACTATGATGGACATATGGCTTACGAAGACATAATTAAAGCAACCAATGATTTTGATGTCAGTTATTGCATCGGGACAGGGGGTTGTGGCAGCGTGTACAGAGTGCAGTTGCCAAGTGGGAAAGTAGTGGCTTTGAAAAAGCTTCACTGTTTGGACGGCGAGAATCCAAATTATGACAAGAGCTTTAGGAATGAAGCCGAAATGCTATCTAAAATCAGGCACAGGAACATTGTAAAGCTCTTTGGATTCTGTCTGCACAAGCGATGCATGTTTCTGATTTATGAGTATATGGACAGAGGAAGCTTGTTTTGTATCTTGAGAGATGAAACTGAAGCTGTGGAGCTGGATTGGATTAAAAGAGTGAATTTGATCAAGGGCATTGCCAGTGCATTGTCCTACTTGCATTACGATTGTGATCCGCCAATCATTCACAGGGATGTATCAAGCAACAACATCCTTTTGAATTCACAGCTCGAAGCAACTCTTTCTGACTTTGGAACTGCGAGGATTTTGGAACTTGATTCATCAAATCAAACAGTCATTGCAGGCACCTTTGGTTACATTGCACCAGGTAGGTTACCTTGTTATCCTAGCTCACTTTCTTCTTTTCACCTTGTTTTCCATATTCTCTTGATGCACATATTAGGCTTAACTTTCAAGGACAGAAAAGAAAAAAAATTCTTCCAATTGAAACGATTATTTTGTTGAATAGAACTTTGTTCAGATCATCAATGCAGCCATAGAGTTGTCCCAGTTGAGATTAACTTTATTTTATCCAAACACATGCTTGTCAATGCAGAGCTGGCCTATACCATGGTGGTCACTGAAAAGTCCGATGTGTATAGCTTTGGCGTTGTGGTGCTAGAAACGCTGTTTGGAAAGCATCCAAGGGAATTCCTTTCCTCCTTTTCATCACAACCCAATGAACCAATAATGCTGAAGGATCTTCTAGATGCCCGTCTGCCCCCTCCGACTAACGCTTTGGTTGTTCAAAATGTGGTTGTGGCAACAGCTTTAGCCCTGGATTGCGTCAACGCAAACCCGAAATGTCGACCAACAATGCAGCAAGTGGTGAACCAATTTGAAGTGGGCAGGCGAGAAGCAACTGAGCCTTTGCACACCATTGCTGTGAATCAGCCTGTTAGTCCAGTTCTTTCGCTGCGTGACCAGAGCTGTGCAGATGGGACGAGTAGCTCAAGCACCATAAATGAATTCCATGTGGATATCTCTGCGATTCTGCCATCATCCAATTTTTCTTTCCACGTTTCTTCCTAAACAACTTTGACATTTGGTAGGAAACAGAATATTTGTATTGATTGACACAATCAGATTAGATGTTAATGGATCATTGTAAACTATCTAGATTCATTGTATATCGTTGCCTATTAATATAGGTCTTGTATATTATTAAGAAGTATGGAATACAGTAACAATTTCACTCCTTCCCGTTCTTTTCAGTTAGAAACATAAATAACTTGAACACAAACATTGACAACTTCAAAAAAATAAAAATAAAAATAAAAATTGATCCAAACACTTAATCATAAAACAATAAAATCATAAAATTGCACGTTCATCTCGGCTAGCTTAAATCTTTGACTGGAGTTGATCGATTACAGTCTTGTCGGCTTGGAATGCCTTGGCCAGAACATCATCATTGATAGGAGGATTTGATCCAAAAACAGCATTTCGGATTACTACGGCACCTGGATTTTGACTGTTGAAGCCAGCTATAGCGACGGCATTTGTCTTTCCTGCATTGAATTGGAAGTGAACGAGTCCAACGGGAAAGACGAAAACATCACCCTTTTGAAGAACTCTGGTGAAAAGCTTGTTTTCGGGATTTGAGGTGACGAAGCCAACCAGGAGGGAACCTTCAATAACTGTGAGGAGTTCGGTGGCTCTAGGATGAGTATGAGGAGGATTAATCCCACCTGGTGCATAATCCAGGCGAGCCAGCGAGATGCCAAGAGTGTTAAGCCCTGGAACCTGAGCTGCAAATACTTGAGTAACCCTGGAACCCACTGCATTTGTGGTATTTCCAGCTATGTGCAGCCCACCGAAGTAGAAATCATCAGCTGTAACTTTCATGGGGTTTTTGCATGCAAAGCCATTCACTTTCACTGAAAAGTTAAAAACATTAATAAAAATCCGTAAGAAATTCAATTAAAGTGCTTGTCACTAAACAGCTTGAAATGTTGATGAGTCAATTAATGCATTTCTTACCGGTGCAATTGGGATCAGCAACACAGAAATCTTGCACAGGTGAGGGGTCAAAAGCAGAGGCGAGATAACAATATGCAACCGCTACAAAGAACAATGAGAACACTGTGCATTTTCCCATCTTGTTGGGCAAAGGATGCAGAGGAACCCGAACAAGAAAATAAGTTGGAAATTAATTTAGATACTATATAGATACGCAAGGCAAGGCTTATGAGTGACGATGCATGAGTACTTTTAGCTGCTTAATTATTTATAGAGCAAGACTAGCAAGCAATGTTCATGGAAGAGCCAAGGAACAGGAAAGAATTTTATGAGTTATTTATTAACTGTAGAATGCCGACCAAGCATAAGATCATGTTATGCCGGCATTATAGAATTGGATAGAAACACACCCATGATTTAACAAGTCAATCATTTGTTCTCACATTCACAAATGTAAAATGTTTTCTCAAATCTTTTTTCATGATCTGAAAACTATTGCCGATCAGTTCTCCCTAACAGGTTAATTTTTGGATCCAGAAATGTTAACCACCAACAATACAATTCACTTTGAACAAACTACCAATTGAAGTTTTCTTCTTCCAAAAAAAACAGAAAACAAAAAAGCTACCAATTGAAGTTATGTTAGTCTACATTATGACATACAAAATGTGAAAAGAAATCACTACGAATAAGTAACTGAGGGCTACCCTTAAGGTACCACTTTGAATAGATGTCTTATAACGTGGAGCGTTACATAAATAAGCTAAGAAGTTCATCTGATGAAGGACATGTCCCTTGGTTGACGACATGGTGCTCATCCTTGACCAAAATTTAACATTAGGAAAAGGAGTCATTCATCCATCCAAAATTTTAATATTTTTTATTGTTGTTAAAACATCTAAAATCTATATGAAATACCAAATGAAGATAGAAAAAAAAAAATTAAAGATTTGATTCTTTAAATTAGAATTTAAATCGATCAGGTGCAATAATCAAAACCAGAACAGACTCATTCTAATATTACTATTTGCAAATTTTATTTGTCAAATTCTCATTATAATAATTGCTTCATCTTTTCTATTCCATAATAACATTAAAATTGAATGAGGACATGATTAGAATTAAAAAAAAAAAAAACTGGATACGTTTTACATCCCAACCAAAGGCATTCTTTAAATATGTCCAATGCAAACAACTAAGGCATGCACTTGCGTCACTAGAATACTCTGGTTCGATTAGACCTTTTTTTTGTTTTTGCACCTTTTATTTGCTAGTTTTTGAAACTTGAAACTTCGTCATGGATTATCAGGATCTTCAGTTTTGTGCTGTATACAATGTTTTCACGCATCTGTCAAAGGGCCTAGCTCATTTTATTCCAATTTTCCTGCTTCTTATGATTCCAGCCGTCATGTTGCTGAAGATATATATAAAGCTACTAACAACTGACAAGGGAACGGGACAAGATTTTCCTATCCCAAAAACGAAGGCCAATTGAATATATGGGTATGAACCACTGGCCAATGGCTCAGTGGCCACCAGGAAGGGGTTTAAGTCCCTCCTTGAGCTGTAGATGAGGGTTCAAATCTCACCTGCAGTGAAAAAAAATTTAAAAGTTGTGTCGGAGCATTTTCTTGGTCTAGTTGGGTCTGTATACTCACTAGCCCCCTACCACAGCCTCCTTAGGCTCCCCCTCCCCCCTAGATTAGAATAGAGTATGTTATACAAATGTATCGTTGCTGACAAAAAAAAAAAAGAAGAATATATGGGTATGGTTGTGTAGTTTATCATGACAACTTCACCATTGCTTTTGTGTGTATTTACAAGTAAATTCTATTTTTCCAATTGAAAAGGTACGTAGATACACACATATATATGTATATATGTGCATGTGTTTATGTATGTATACATACACACACATATATATATATTTTCCTGCATTTAACCAGTTAGACAAATACCTCAAATTATTAGCCGGGCACAGTTTACTTTTCTAAAAGAATACACATTGACCTGGTCTCAGAAAGCTAGAAATCTTACGAGTGAGCGAGCGGCAACTTCTTAAATTGGTAAAGCCAGCTGGTCTTAATCTGATATTGCTGGAGGAGCCTCTATAAATAACCATCCCAAGTGGGCTGTCTTCATCACCACTCTCAAAACATAAAACATTCCACAGACAGTTCTACTCAGGTCTTTCAGTGCTCTACCTGCTTATTTTTGTCACTGGTTGGGATGGCGAAAAATTCTGTTTTGTTGGCTTTGCTAGCTCTCAGTTTCTCCTACCTCACTTCGGCATTTGATCCATCACCATTCCAAGACTTCTGCGTGGCAAAAGCCACAACCACAGGTATTGAAGCGAGCATAAGGAATGATGTTGAATTGGGCAAAAGTCCCATGGTGCGGCGCAAAAGCCCCATGGACCTTAGAGATTCTTAGGTTCTAAGTGCTGATGCTGTAATTCTAAGTGTTAAATTATAATTTTTTTGACAGGAAATATGTAATGTTGTTAGTTGAAATGCTATTGTTGCTGTTAATTAAAGTATTAAATTGAATAATGGTCAGATCACTTTGCATAAAATCATATGCGAATTATTTGAATAGATGCAAAATCAGAAGAGTAGGAATGGCAACGACCCCGCCCCCGCCCCCCGCACTGCTGCCCACTAATTCTTCCCGCTCCAGCCCCCCACTCCCCACCCACCCTCTTCCCCATATTATTGTAATTTTTTAGAGAAAAAAAGTGTTACTGTATTAAATGTAATTACAAATTTAGTATAAATGTATTAGTAAATTTAGTATAACTAATTAATAATTTCTATTAGTAGACATGTATAATTATTAGTATAATTAATAATTTTAATTATATTACATATACTAATATACATTATATAATACTTATAAATAATAATAATATTATTATAAGTTTGTAACTAATTAAATTAAATATATTTTACATATAATTATACACATACATACATATATATATAAATATTTAATTTTTTAACGGGTACGAAGCCCTTCTCCATTAGACCCCGCAGGCACCCGTCCCAATTGCCATCTCTGCAGAAGAGATAAATGTATATTTATGTAAAATTGCAAGGGAGTAAAACTAATACTATAATTTTATCATAAGCACTTTTAGAATGGGTCTCAAATCAATCGCACTATTCGAAGATGCCTCTCATGCATTTACCACTTTACGTAAATCCACGATACGGTCATGTGGAAATTTTGAAACCTTAAGGAGGTCATGTGATATTTATATAAAATCACAAGAGGGTTATGAGTAATTTACCCAAAAATCAAAGATTTTCCCAAAGAAAAAAAAAAAAAGAATCGCAATTCAGATAGTATGCCTGCATTTGGGGGTCTAAGAAAGAATAAATATTTATTGTTTGTCTACTTTAATAATGGAAAGAAGCATGACTTATCATTGTCGTCCACAAAATATGTTCATGATTTATAGAATTTTTCTGGTTAACTTTGTTTCAGACAACGTAATTAATATCCATTCCTTGAAACAAAAACTTATTAGTCCTAATCTCCTACAGTAATCCCATTTGAAAGAGCTGGTAAGAGTTTCACAATGCACCTTAAAAACTTGGACAAAATTCCTTCCATATCATTTTAGATGTTTCAGTCTACCTAAACTCAAGTAGATGGGCCATCAGTGGCCTTGGGACTTCGGGCGTGGCATACTTTCCCACCCAATCAGTATTTCATCTATTTATTTCTGGGTTAGAACATATGGCACATTATTATCTTAGCTTGGCTCTTGCTCAACGGCTATATTTTCTGCTCAGCCACTCCTCCACCAGCTAACCATTAATAATCAAATCATACACCACCGCGCCTTCCCTAACGGTCCATTTTTGACATATTAATCTTCCCTCTCAGACCATCTCTGAGCTTCACTCTGCAAATCCTTATCACATTAATCACGATTCTCTCTCTTCCTCCCCCCCCCCCTCTCTCTCTCTCTCTCTCTCTTATACTGCCTGCCTTTTCTACTTTTCTTGCCATCAGTTTTAGCTCAAGAATTCAAGAATGGCTACTAACAATGAAGACAACAATAGTGATGAAAGCTGTCCGAGAATTCAGCATGTAGCAAAAGCATCATCTGATGAGCTGCTGAGGAAGTTTGCCCAAGTGGGTTCTGAGTCAGAAGACAAGAAAGAGCTGCAGTTGGCTAAGCGGATTAAAAGAAGCACTAATATTAGTGCAATTAAGGCTGGGTTTTATACTCAGAGCAGAATGTATGTTGATCAGGGCTCTTCTTTGAACGGTATTAGTGCCGCCATTGTTGAGAGGAAGTCCCTTTTGCCTCCCGTTACGCCCTCGTCTCGGAGATCATCTGTGGCGGTGGTTCGAAGACTTGGGATTGGGAGAGTAAAAGTCAGGGCAAGGGAAATTAAGCATAAGTCTCTTCTGGGTGCAATTGAGAAGGTGAGATCTCTTTATTTGATAATAAGATATACTTTATGTTTTGTCTTTTTTATTACTCTTGATCATGATTATATCTGTTTCCGGATAGGCATAATATGCCGATTTTGGATAGAATATGCATTTAGGATTATTAAAAAGTCCCTTGTGATTTGTAGAAAATTCAACTTAACTCTCTGTGGCAAAGTGAACTTACGCTCTCTAAGTTTTCTTCATTTTAACTAGATTGAAAATTGAACAGAAATTGCCTAAACTAACTAACGGTTGCACACAAAATGTCAGAATTGCCCCCCTAACAATAGGAAGCTTTGGTCCATAGCCTCCTTCATTTGTAGCTTGTACTTTTCTATATCATCCAAGAAGTTGTGAAACTTAATTAATTTGTAGTTAATATCTTAAGTTAGCTTGAATCAGACCTTTCACTTTTGCAACCATGTTTTTCTACAACACATTTTCTCCTGAGTCTGCAATTCTGTGAAATATCAAGTACAGCACTCATCATGATCCATTGCAAATCAAAGTAGTCATTATATGAAAACATGTAGTCTCATGCACTCATTATGCTCCATTATAAGCAGTAATGACATGCGAAAATATGGTCGAAAACTGAATGCTGTTTTCTTCTTTTGTTAATGTACAAATAGACATGGCGTAGGACAATTGAAGGTGCTTGCAAGGTATTCGTGGAGAAGCATTACAACCAACACAGACGTCTAAAGCATGACATGTTTTAGTTAACGATACCAGACTTCATTGAGGTATCTTCTTATCAGTTTAAAAACAAGGTTCGGTTCTTTCATGTTGATTTCTTTAAAGGAGCTCCATATGCTAGCATACTCTCTGTTGTTGGAGAATACCAATTCATAGCATGGTTTTTAACCCATGAAAAAGGGTAGGTGGTGATGTTACATCTAGTTTCTTTTCTGTTTTACCCTCAACAACAGCTATGGATTAATTCCTCCAAGTTCACAGGAACTCTGCTGAACCTTCTTCAAATTAATCTCCTCAGTCCACAAAAAAAATAAATAAATAAAGTGATAACTCTTAATAAACAAACAGGACCTCAATTTTGACCCATCACAAATGTCTAAATGTTCCAAGCTCAAATGTTTTTGCCCTTAAAAGCATGTTTTTGACATCTTGCTCTTAGTCTAGCACTTTCTCCTGCTTTAACCCATGGTTCAGCCCGGATGCTGGTTGCAACTACGTAAGCATACTTCTTCAAGTTATCGTTTTCTTTTCCTTTTTCTATCTCATACCCAAAGCATAAAAAATAAAATGAGGACTCTTCTTTTTTTTTTTTTTTTTGGTATATACTTAAACTGGTCTTTTGGAAAATGTGGCTAAAGATTTTATGGTAAAAGGGATAAATTGGTTGGGCAAACTGAAGCAAAGATGCATGTTTCATGATGATCCTGCATCACAAGCTAATTTGCCAATAGTGTTAAATGATAAATCTATATTAATATAGTAAGACTAGAATTTTATTTTTTTTTTTTTTTAAAAAGTTGACTAAATCGAAATTATAAAAATGATAATCAATTTGTTGGCACATGAAAGAAATTATCCCTGAAACCATTATAGTAACCGACACTATGACGCAAGACTTGAAATTGATAGCTAAATTCTTATTATGCTACTGGGATTTTGTAATATGAATTATTCTTTCACAGATTGGAATTATGGGAAACATGAAGAAAAGGGGTCTGCCGCAAAATGAGAATGGCCGTCTTTAATTATTCATTGTTGTAAGTTGGAAGATCAGTTACATCCATTTTTTTCTTATCTAATTTTTTTTTTTTAAGAATCCAAAGTCTCTTGCCTTTAATTTCCATACCTTGATAATATCAGCTGCATATTTTTTTTCTTTCTTATTACATCTTGTTGTTATACACATATTTAAGGATAAATGTTAAATCATGATACTTGTAAGTGATGGATACAAATATTGAATCCCTGAAATCCTTTAGTTTTGCTTCTGTGGGTAAATTGTACATCGTTTATTATAGGATTTTGCAAATATTAAATGCATTAAGACTTGCCTGCATTCAAACAATTGATTTCGACACCCCTGGTTTTTCTATTTCTTCTTTTGCTTGTTGTGTGTTTGCTGCTGTTTCCAGCCTTTCCAAACCTGCCACAGAATATTGCAAGTCAAAGAGGTGGTGGGGCGGCCTAATTGAATCAGAAATAGCTTCATCAGATGGTGGAAAGGCTTATTAGAGGCGGGCAATAATAGATAGAGCACATGAACAAAATACACAAACAAGTAGAACAAAATTGCTACCGTCCAGAAGAAAAGGTTCATTATACTACTGGAGCCGGATCAAGTTTAAACATTTTCTTGGTTGAATAGTATCCAGTGATCAATCAGGTTAAGAGTTCAAATCCTCTTGGTGCATTAAAGAGAAGTACAGTGCTTTCTTTTATGTCTAATTTCCAGCCTCTGTAGCCTGTACAAGTCTAAATGAACTTCTCCTGCCCCATAATGTAGGAGCAGAATAGAGTGTGAATGACGGTTGTAAAGTCTAAAGCAATGAAAGGTGTACTCAACTATCTAGATGATTATCCATGCATTCAATAATGTATCTAGATGCTGAGCTCCCCTCTCCGCTATTGTCCCCCTCGGGGGGGCTGATTCAGCCTTTGAAAGTTTCACGTTTCTACTTCACTTCATTTACTTTCTGTGATTCTGTTCGAGAAGCTAAGCACACATTTGATATTTCTCACTGGAAGAATGCGTTGACAATCTTGAAAAAGAATGCTTCAGTATTTGATTTATAAAATGTTTTTAACCAAGTGAAATGATGCCACCAAAATTATTCTAAACAGGTTCTCAATGTGAAAGCTAGGACTGAATGTCTAAAATGTGCTTATATTTTTCTTTCACATCGATCACCTTCAACAACAGCTACGGTAAAGAGTCGGTGCAGAACACCCTTCAAACATGATGTGCACTCTCAACCAAAGTGACGCCCCAAAAAAGCCTGTGTTCTTGTTGTCAAAGTCAACCTCCAAAACATCTTCTTGTCATTCTAGCACTTTCTCCTGCTTTAACCCACGGTTCAGCTTCAGCACGGATGTTTGTTGCAACTACGTTATAGGCACTTTTTGATGGATTAGCTGATCTAGGTAAGCTAGTCAAGTCATCGAAGATGTAACCTTATCACGAGCTACTTGTGTAGGATATCTGTAACCATGGGAAAGAGCACTGCCTTCCAAATTTGGGTATAGTCAACTGTAGATTGGTAACCAGTCCTTACAGCGACTTTTACTTTTGCGCACTTGTCCAGAAGTACTGCTATGGAGTGAGTGACTGGAAATTGACCTTATCAATTTATAAGAAGAGCAATTTCAGCAAGTTCGTAGGTTTTTTTAGTTTGCCAAAGAGAATTGCTTTGCTTTGTCCGCAAGTCATATGCAATTTTTGGGAATAAAAAAAATATATATATATATATTGTTCTCTAGTAGGTTTGGTACTGTATATATTAACACTACTTGTTTGCAATGCATGATCTTGTGTGACTTGTGAATTGTAGATGGAATAACATTTAGGGCAGCTTGCATTTATAGTGTTGAGGCATGAATTTGCAGAACGTAAGACCAAAAGGGTTAATTAATGCAGTAGTATTTTTCTTTTATTTGGAATTGAAAATTAATTCAAGAGTCTGAACCTGGTCAATATGATGCATTTGCATGTTTCCTTAGGGGAAGTAGTTAAGTGTATCTTTCCATTTAAAGTTAAGTGTCCATCTCCACACGTAGACATACCTCGAGTCGTCTCTTTTACTTTAGGGGAGATGCTGAATCAAATAACTCGACTCGAACTCGTGAGCTACTTGATCAACAGCTCGACTCTAGCTTATTTTGACAGAATTTGAGTTCGAACTACACATTTGAGCTCATGAGTCGACTTCGAGTTCCAATGTTTTATGCTCAAAGGCTCGACAAGTATAATCGATCCTTTTATAATATATGTTTTTTATATATATTATTGTGAAATGTCAATAATATCCTTTATTTAAAATTATATGTAAGATGTTAATTTTTGTTATGTGAGATTGATTACACTAGAATAGGCTCGATTACACTCAAATAAGCTTGATTGAGTTTGACTTGACTTGATTAGATTTAATTAAACTCGAATTCGAGTAAAGTAAACTGAAGTCGAGTTCGAATTCAAACTTGATTTCTAAAAGCTCAACAAAGCTCAATTACTCGAGTTCGACTCGACTCGAATGCACCCTATTTTACTTTTTCGCATTAAGTAAATTGTGTTTTTTTTTAAGCAGGAGGTTTACCTATAATCCCTCCCATTTTACCATCCAATCCGACCCTTCCCAAGTAAATTGTGATTTAATTCACCTTCATGTAAAAACTCCTTTTCATATGCACGTAGAGAACTTCTTACCCCCTTGGAGAAGAATCAATTATGCCTTTCCATTTAAAATCATTAAATGCCCATTACATTCCATATAGACAGACATACCTGATACCTCAAGACTTCAAGGTTGTCCCATTTTATTTTCCTTTTTCCACATTAACTAATTTATGATTCATTTCACCACGATGTAACAAAGGCTACTTTTCATACCTAAAGTTTAATAAAGAAAAAGAAATTCTCCCTTCCTTTTATACATAAATTCAGCTATTGAAAAATGTGTCCAACGATTTAATAGTGAAAGGGATAAAATAAATTTTATGGGTTGGGCAAATTGAACCATCCGGACAAGAAATGATATATGTTTCATGGTGATGATCTTTCACCACAAATTAATTTGTCAATAGTAAGAAGCGATAAATCTATACTCAAATAGTAAAAAAGTTATGTATGGTATAGTAGAATTATTTTGCTTTCTTAGCAGAGAAAAAATGACAGTAATTAGTTTCTTAGGACAAAAATAATATAATCCCTGTCCTGTGTAAATACTATTGTGCCCGCCTCTATAAGGTAATGCTTGAAAGTGATGGTTACATATTAAGCCAAAAATGGTCTTCCACAGCTTGTCTTTTCCTTTTGGGATTATGTAATATGAATTTCCCTCCTTGGAAAGATTCAAATTGGTTTCGGCTGAAAGCCTAAACCGAGCCCCTCGGGGTTAGATTACCTGATCTTGGGATAGCCATTCAGGTTCAGGGTTAGATATTCTTGGGTGGGAGGGGGGGGGGGGCGGGGTACTTCAGGTGCAGGGTGATTAGTTGGGTCTACTATAAAATGATAATTGAAACATACATTATATAGAGAGCAAAAATTGGATGTCACTACTATTTTCTCTCAATTACACTTTTAGAAATTAAAATAAAAATCAGCCCTGTATTATTTTCTTTTGTATTACGGTTTGGTGTTTTTTTTTTTAATTTGTTTATGTATTAATTTGTAATCCGGTAATCTACACTTCTTTCCCTCCATAAATATGTGGTCATTTCCATCCCTCCAAGTCCCGTATAACAGTTAAAACGCTCTTTAAAGCATACATGCTCTGCCCGGCAGACGGCCGCCACGCTTTCTTTCGTTAACTCCCTCTGTTTCTCGTCCCTTCAGAAATCTTCTCTTGTTTTCCCTTTTCTCCCAAAAAAACCAAACAACCAGTAGCAATCGTACATCCATTTATACTCCCCTTTCCAGTATCTTTCCAGTTTTTTACGTCTGCACTCATGAGAATCCCTTTCTGGGTTCTCTTGCTCGTCACTCTCTGATTCTTTTCCACTCCACTTTCATACGAAAAGACTCCAGTCTCATTCTTTTCTTGAATTTGTGTCCCTGATTTTTTTTTTCTTTTTCTGCATTAACTGCTCCAGCCTTGAATTCTAACGCCTTCTGCGCATCACATTGATCAATCCTGCCTGGGCTTCGGTTTTTTTATCGATATTTCCGTCTGGGTTTTAGTTGGTTTCTGTTAAATTTTCTCTTTTGTGATATTGTTTCCCCCCTGAATTCTTCTTTTGCTGCAGTAACTGCTCCAGTCCTTAATTTCAGCCCTACAATTCTTACTGGGTTTTTGTTTCTTGATCAAAATTTCATCTGCGCTTTCCTTGAATTTCGACGATACCAGGGAATTAGTGGGGTTGGTGGCTTAAAATCATCATTCTTGAAAAAAGCCAGGAGCCAAGAAGATATAGGGAAATGAAATATGTCTTCGTCGTTGGGGAAAATAGTGTCAGCTTGTTGCGGACCTTTGAGTCAATATGTGCGTATGAACAGGGATGATAATAGCAACCGCGATACTAACAATGAAGATGCTAGTATTACTATGTTAGGCGAGGAAGATGACCCCTCGATTTGGTACAAAGATCTTGAGAAGCATTTTTGTGGAGAATTCTCTTTTGCTGCGGCTCAGGCCAATAGAGTTATGGAGGATCATGGTCAAGTTGAAACTGGAAAGAATGCCACCTTTGTTGGAGTTTATGATGGCCATGGTAGCCATGAGACTGCACGATTCATCGGTGACAACCTCTTCTATCATCTAATAAGTGAGTGGCAATATCTTTTTCCAATTATTTCCTTTTGTTTTCGAGGATTTACTTTAATGCTTTTAATTTGAATGAGGAGTGAACTGGTGCATGTTTGTTCTTTTGCAAAAGCTTTGGCCAAGAAAGTTGCTAGACTGAAGGAAGAGAGAATGGAGAAAGAATAATTTGACCGTGTTCTTGTTTGATGTATTTCTTTAGCTCTTGATGATTCTATATGTTCTTTCTGGTACTTTCTCCTGGGATATCAATTAGCTCTGTTCGCTGCAATAAGATAAAACAGAAATTGAGACTATGAGTATTTTATTTTCTTGATATATTTTCTTTTTGTTTTTCCTTTATATGGTGTGTTGTTTTATCTTACTCCGTCGAACTTTCTGGTCTGATTTTACATTTTTAATATGATGCATGCCGAGATATGCATGGTTATTGAAACTTAGTGCTATCAGGAAAAAGGAAAAGTTTCTTGACTTTGAGTTCCAGTGCTTTTGATTAATTACACCTCCAGATTTGCCTCTTTAATGGTGCATTGTTTGTTTTAAAAATTACTGAGTTGTCAAATATCCATTAGCTTCTTGCTGTGTTGCATTATTTGTTTACAAATATTTTCAATTGGCTTTTTAACATCCATAAGCTCTTGTGATATTTTTCTTTCCTATTTTCTTGTCTTTTTCCTTGTAATGTCTTTCTGTCATTAAGAATGGAGGCTCTGAGTTATAGCAAATTGGATTTAACACTTTCGGTTCGTTGATTATATCCAGTAAAGTTGTCTTCATGCTTATGAACATGAAATCCCTATAATTGTATGTTATCTTGTATTTGTGCAAAGGCGAAATCTTGTTGGTTGAGCTTTTGACCAAGTCTTATACCTTGGCGATCTTCCATTGACCGTTCCATGGACATGTTTTGTAGAAAAATAATTCATTATCACATAATAAACTTGAAAGTAAACGGCAAGTAAAGAAGTTGGAATTGATTGACTTATTCTTTCAAAAGAAATGTAGCTAAAACTCAGCAGTTCCTGAGGTCCTACGTAGGGCCTGCAGTTATGATATGGTTTTCCTTTAGAGCTGCAGATTGAAAAGACTCTTAAACTGTTTTTTGTCCTACTGACACCTTCTATGAGGCATTTG